CCGTAATCGAAATTAGCTTCTCGAATAGTAGCTAACCTGCCTTGATCACACGATCGTGATTGCACTCTATGATTGTTTGAGCATCGAACGCTCCTGCCGTAAATCCGGCGTCTCGTAGCAGAGGGACAAGACAGTGCAGTACCTTTTGCTGTAATAATGTCACATTTGGTGGTGATACCGAGCCATGGATCGACTTGATCAGTTTAGGCTTCGGCACCTTTAAAAGTGGGTCATCTGCTAAAAGTTGCTTCAGTTGTTGCCAATGGAAGTATCAGGTGATCTGTTTAAGCTATCAGTCTTCTGATTTGCATGTTGACTTTTTGTCTTGATCACTTGCTAGTTTGGACGTGGCTCAGCCGTCCTCATCTTTGGACGGGACAGCATAAGATGTTGTTTCTTTGCCTTTGCATTGGCAAAGGTTGTGGAGGTGAGAATTTGTATATCCTTACTGGAGCAAAAAATATTGCAGACCATGTTTTGTAGCATGATCTACAAGGTCTTCGAACGGACCAGAAAGGGTTAGAGGGCATTCTTCCATGATCATCTTAGTGATCTTTCTGTTTTCTTTCTTGTCATTATGGAACCTTCTAGAACTTGATGATATGGTGCAATTTCTCTTTGCGCGTCTGCGGTGACATGTCATCCGCTGGCACTTTAATCCCAAGTTAATATTTGACCTTAAAATCTTCATAATGGATATCACGGTGAAAAACCGAGTTACTAGAAGATCCGAAAACTTTAAACATTGTGGTGGATTGGAGATCGCTCATTTTATGAGGCGATCCAACTGTCCACTTGCGCCCAAACGGCCTAATTACGGAGTGGGTAATTCTATTCTGCTTGAATTTGTTCCTTACTCACCTTGTGTACCCGTCGGTTGGCAGGCTGCACTCTTCTCAATGGACTTAGTACAATTCTAAACTTGACCATTGTATAGAATGGTGTCTATTGGATAAAAATTTCTCACCTGATTGCGTGTTCTTGGTTGGCGCTCTCCCAGAGTAGCCGCGATCAGTCTTGACCGCCGTGTGCTAGGAATGGGGTACTTGAGTCACGAGCTTCTGACCACTTAAGCCGTCTCGCGATGTTGTCCTATAAATAGTAACGTTTCTTGCGTCTGGTAGCAGCTGAGGCATGTTGAGAGGCTTGCACTCCTGGCCAATGCCTTCAGGGGCGATCTTTCAGTTCGTATAGGCGAAGTTCTCTGACGTCGTGAGGACACATCCTGCCCGGAAAAAGAACGACACGAATGTGTTCAGAAGTTAATCAAAATATGTTTAGTATTACCTAACCAAAGACTAGAAATGAGACTACGTATACCCCGTATGTCAAAATTTACCGCCACGTGTCCCCTTTATGCCAAATGGATTTGCAATTCCTCTATATCACATGCCCCACGCCAGACCGATGTACGCGATCGTAGACCCTAAATGCGGTCAGTGGTTGCTGTCTTCAGATCGCGGTCCCTTGATCGCGGTCCTCTGATCGCTATCCTCACTTCTTTCCACAGTATGGGACGGCGCTGATAAATGGGACCCTGCCCATTGGGTCTTTTAACGGTGACGTCTGTGTTAACGGCTACTACCCAAAATCGTTTAACTAGATACCGCTTTGTACTTAGCTGGAAGCCGATTTGCATAAACCCGATCTCGATCAGCTTGACCACACCTTTAACACTTTTTCTTGTTATTCCAAATCTGCCAGAGGTAGCATCGTCAATCAGCCCGATAGTTCTAAGTCGTCCACGCTCTCGCACGGGGCACTCCTGTTCTTTATAAATCTTAGGCTAGTTTTTGGTGATCTCAGCTTCGGTCTGGGAGTAATTACATTCAAGCAGTCTAGATACTCCAAGGGGGATTCGTCTGACCTCTTTTTCGCGGGATTTTGCTGACGGGCAACTGGTACCGCCAGACCACAGAACTGAGTCTAAGATTCTTGCAGTAGGTCCATCCAATTCTTTCGAACTCAGCGACTTAGTCGGCGATACCAGTTTTGTGCTGGACCGGTCAACATTCCTTTTGAACGAGACACTTCCCACTTTATGGTGCTTAGTCCCTTGCGAAGGCAGATTTCACAGTTGTTACTTAACTGCGTTTTTCGGTCTTAGTCCAGATTTCTTTCATTAATATTCCTAAGATCGAAAGTTGCTGAGAGCTTTATGCGGTGGAAGAAGTTGGGTACCCGTCCCACCGTGGCATTTACCATCATCGCTGGGATTTACTCCAGATTCAGGTGATCTGGGTCGTATTCGCAAAAAGCCAACCGATTCCGTGTGAACATCAGATATAGTGGGTTGTCTCTGGACTCAAACACCTTCTCTTTAACCATATCGAGCGGTCGCCATTCGCGATCCCTGTATCCCTTTACCGTCTTACCATGGTTAAGGCGTGTTGGTGGCACTCAACGTTCTCAGAGAAATCTTGCCATCGTCTTGTCGAAGTATGTGTGTTGATTACCTACGGGGAGGTAATCAGCAGGCATACTGACAGCAGGTCGACAGCGGTTCACAACGCCTCATCGTGGTCAAGTATAGCTCCAATTAAGTAGTTGTTGTTTTGGAGTACCCACGATCCTGCTTAAGTCTCCACCCATATCTATCAAATAAAAACTAGATGAGCCAAACATCCGACGTATCGCCCGGCGCCATTATTGTATTTATACGCGTGAATAAAATAGTTGCAGATGTCGATCATAAGTTGTTCGTCGAAAGTCTAAGGGTATTACTTTGTACTGAACGATGACGATCACAAGGCGGAGGTCAAGACGACACTTGACTTGTAGCGAATAGCACATAATCATGCCACATGAATTGAATGCGATGACCCATCATTACACGGGCGGCATAGTAGCTGAACGATTGTAATGCGACGCTGCTAATAAACTCGTTGCCAAAGGGCCGGATTCGCATGATTTTAAAGAAGTGGAGAGTAAAGATGGGTCGAAGGTCACTGTTAGAGTGACACTATGAATAACAACGGCGGCCAAGACGATGTGGTCTAGTAGATGGTACTGCTGTCTCGCAGCCATGTAATCGTGCTCGCACTACTAGAGACGACGTGTGCATGATAGGCACACCAGATAGCAATGTTTTTGCGGAAACTAATGAGCAGGTTCGTGGTGATGATGCATTTTAGGCCACGATAACGTATAAATCTCAGCCGTGCAGGGCGTGATGTGAAATTTATATGCTTGCAAGATGGTCTTATTCTGCGCCAGTTAATTATACCTACCTGCAGGTTTTCACGTGCAGTGAAGAGTCATAATTCTTCTCTATTGAGTTCATGATGCGGTGCGCGCTAACTGTATCCGAAAAGCATTGAGTGCACAAATGCGATCGGTAAATCATAAAGAATGCGTCGCTCGAGTAACAAGAAGCTTAATTTTGCCGAAGGTGTCTACCGACTCCTTCGTATTCACAACCACAAGACAGGCATTGCCTAACTGCTCTGTGAACTGATAACAGCAAGTAGAACGCAACTGCTCATTTCGCTCGACTCCTTTTTTTCGAAGAAAAGGTGTGAGACAAATCAGTGTATTTTGTGTAGAGGGTAGATCTCTTCCACATCCACGGATCATATCACATTTCAACGTACCCGGGAACAGTAGCCCGTCCAGCTCGTGCTTCGCAATTTCAAACAATTAAAAAAGTGATAGTGTCTTCTTCGACAATGTTCACCAGATTCAGACCTCGCCAAGAATTTGACCCATCACCAAACCAATTCACAGTATTGTTATCAACGATAGCAACGAGATACAGGCCTCGTGTCGACGGGTCATGTTGCAGTGTAAACGAGCTGTACACGCCCAAAAGAATTGGCGTAGTAGATCGCAAATGGAGAGTAATGGATTCGATAAAAGCGGTGTAAATACGTGACATCACGGAAACGGACGAGCAAGTTACACATAGCCTTACACACATTGCCAGCAGCAAATACCGACTTTACACTACCACAAAAATGCACTTAAGTATAGCAGCGGCCAGAACTAGTGGGACGCGTTCAGTACGAAATTCAAAAGAGGAATCTCATTGGAACCTCTACTTAAGCTTTAGCGAAGTTCAGGTAGGTGCGTATAGCTGCTACACATCCGACTTATCTTAGATAAGCCATGTCTGGATGCACAGACGTTTGTGTCTTGGTGCTAGTAATGGTTGTGTGGGGGTGATTCCGCTTGAGCTACGTTAGTGTGGAACCGTGGCTCAGACCTGTCTTAGTTTATGATTCGAACGATAAGATGTCACATTTCGCGACGTTTAGTGAGAGCGGACTGTGGTTTTTCTTTGCCAAAATGCGTGCAATCATTGCAAGGCGACCGCAAATGACGACTAAAATTGACTGATTAAAAATATCTGTGTACGAGGTGCTACACCTGGAAACACAGGAAGTCGTTCAGCTGAAGGTTTCTAACCCGCCCGAGGCGGTGGGACTAGTACTGGTAGCTTCTTCCCTATTAGCTGATCACCGATATTACGTTTGGAGTACCGGAATGAGAGTTGTGCGGATCGCAAATGGTGGCTGTGTGGAAAACCATTCTCGAGGAAATTTATGACCGTCGTTAAATTTGTACAATAAAATACTGTTGCCCGAGCGTAGCCATCTTCACTAAAGTAGTATTTAATTAGCTGATCTACTGCCGCACACTATAGTCGCCTGACCTCGTCCCTTAACCAGTGCTTGTCTGTGTCGTATGCTAGAACGAATGCTGCATTGTATTGTGTAGACAGAAGATCAGATCAAAGCGTACGCAAAAAGCAGAAAACCAGCTCAGCTAACTAAAGTACCACAATCTATTCGCTACGGAATTGCTGGTGATCCATGTGGATCTAAAAGTGCCGAATCAAAGTGCGATTTATTCTCGTTTCGCCAAAATCCGCACATTTGTCACTCGACTCGCTTTTATTTATATTTATCCTTTTCCATCGAGTTTAACAGCGCAAGGGATTACATCCTCTGTTATCTGCAGTAGCTACACGACTACACGTGGCATTCAGCTGCCGCCACTTAGTCGCGGGCATCGAACACGGACAGCAAGAGCTCGCCGAAGTCGCCGCTCACTTCTTCGGCAATGCGCTCACGCAGTTCCTTGCCGTATTTCTTCTTGTACACGGGCTTGATGTCGCGCAGCACGATGTGGTAACGGACGACCGCACAGCTCAAAGCGTTTTCGTCCGTGCCGAAGCACTTCATAGCGTCCTCGAAGAGATCAGCCAGCAAATCCAGTGGCTCAGTGATCATGCGGATGAGGAACAGCACGGCCTTCTCAGCGTCTCCACGGAACTCGTGCGCTGCAGCCTTCGCCAGCGGCTCCTCGTGCTTCTTTTCATAAGCAGCAGCCACCGCGCGCAGGTGCTCGGGCGGAGAAGCCACGAGCACGCTCACGAATCCCTCTTCGTCTGTGCCCATTTTGCCACGACCCGTTTGGTACAGTTTCTCCACGTCAGCGTCCACTTTGGACGCATTGTGAATACTGGCATCGAACGGCACGAGAGCAGCTTGGATCGACGCCAGAATCACTTTCTGGAAGTCCCCACGGAGGTCGCTGTCCAGCACCGAGCCGAGGTCTTCACCGTAGGTCTCGTAGTAGGCTTTCTTGAGGATGTTGATCTCCGTGTTGGTGCGGCCAACGACCACGGGGTAAATGAGCTCCTCTTTCGTGCCCAAGCCCTTGGTCGCGGTGCGCAAGATATCGGCTTCAGCGTCAGGGAGCGGCGACGCCAGCAGCTTGAGCAGGAAGCCGTAGTGGCCTGACGTCTCGGAGTCCACGAGGTCACGCAAGCTCTGGTTGTGCAGCTCTTTGTAGCGCTTGGCAATGAAACTGCGCTGCGTGCTTGTCTTGCCGCCTAGCGCCTTGGTGAGCTCCTTCTCGCGGGTGCCGGTGCCCTTGGTGGCTTCAAAGATCTCGTTCACGATCGAGTCCGTGCCGGGCGGATACGAGGGCGGCTGGCCATTCCAGGCGCTGTGAGTCGCTGGTGGGTACAGGTTCAACATCTTGACAGGTGGATGACGGGAGGGAGGCTTGGTAAGGTCTTCAGAATGACTTGCGAGGCACGTGGTCGATTCGAGAATGACGAGTCCCGACGTGTAGCCAAAGATCTTACGTATCTAAAGACTGCGATCTTCTGCAGCACGAGACACTTTATACCCTCTTGAAGTTGATAATGGAAAGGTACCCACGTGGCTCAATGCTTGTCATGTAGACCCAGGCATCAGTCACTGAGAAATGTAATTACCTGATCTTCTCAATATCAAGCCAGCTGATGTGGTTGCTAGACTAAGACTGCTGTCGAAAATCAGCTCTTCGAGATGAGGTAAGTGATCAGAGACAGGTCGAGAATCCAGCAAAGCGAAATATCCGACTGCCCAATCCACGGGCTGAGTTGGCCGAAAGACCAGGAACCGTTTCGGCACGCCCCAAACTACGCGCAATCGCATCTTCCTGTTGCATGCTTGACTAGTACACCGGTCTACTATCATGTAGCAAGGGGCTGTATAAGCATCTCACGCAGGAATAGATTCGTGACGACGGCTTGCTGCTTTAGTTGTCGCCATCATCGTATATTGATGCAAAGTGCATTGCGGCTGCCATTGCTTGCTTGCAAACTGTTGTCGTTGCATTTGTTTTTCGACATCTGCATACTGAGCTAACCATTTACCAGCAGTGTAGCTTGACTAAAAGCGGGATGATGCAATCGAAGCTTAAGGAGCTACGGTACAACTGGCTGGACACGAATTTGTTGCAACAACAATTCCCTATACGACGTGAGCAGCAGGTCTTTCCTTCGATACTCGATCCTAAGAAGTGGCAACAAAAAACGGCCGGCTGCTCATGCGTAAAGTGGTATCGTTTACAAACTCCCATTTTCAATACGAACGCAGGTGCACTCGGTATTTTCGACGACTTATGGACGCGTGAGGTGCAATTTCGACAACATGAGGTTCGATTAGTAGACGCACCTTTTTTTGTGATATAGTCCTATCTAAATGACCGGTAATTCTAGTCTTCTTTACCGATATCACTTCCACTTCATCCATCGTCACGCTCAGACCACCCAGGTACCGATATACCGAATAACAACACACGTACTTGTCTGCAGTCCACCAGCTCATCAGGACGGACGATGCTGCTCCGCCGCGCTGCACTTCGTCGTCCGCTGCCTCGTCTCTCGCGTCTGTCGTCTGTACCGGCGTCTCAAGCTATCGCAGAGGAACGTACGAAGGGTGATGAGAAGTGGATACGTCTCATGCAGCAGACGAGTCGTCTCGAGTCGTCTGTCCTCCTGCCTCTGAACGAGAAACTGCTGGGACCTTTGGACCGCAAGCACAGTGAAGAGAAGCTGCCGTCGCTGCCGTTTGTGTTCCTATTGGGCAACCATTCGTCGGGTAAGTCCTCCTTCATCAACTACCTCTTACAGCGGGACGTGCAGTCCACAGGCGTAGCGCCGACAGACGATGGCTTCACAATTATCGCTCCGGGACACAAAGATCTGGATCAAGATGGACCGGCGCTCGTGGGCGACCCAGATCTGGGCTTCTCTGGTCTTCGGACTTATGGACCAGCGCTGATCCAGCGCACGCAGCTCAAGGTCCGCAAGGGAATCAAAGCCAATTTTATGCTCGTGGACAGTCCCGGCATGATTGACTCGCCGCACAATCCGTCGCAGCAGGTAAATCACGGAAGTACTTCAAGCGACCGGCTGCCGTCTCAGCAGCAGAGCGTGTTGGGCTTGAAAGGACGAGACTCTGACCGAGGGTACGAGTTTTCGGAGGTCGTACGCTGGTACGCCGAGCGTGCTGATGTCATATTACTCTTTTTCGACCCGGATAAACCCGGAACAACAGGTGAAACGTTGTCCATATTGACGCGGTCACTGGTTGGCATGGATCACAAGTTGCACCTTGTGCTGAATAAAGTGGATCAGTTTCGCAAGATCCACGACTTTGCACGCGCGTACGGCTCATTGTGTTGGAACCTGAGCAAGGTCATCCCGCTGAAGGATCTGCCGCGTATCTACACGATGTGCATCCCTACCAAGGACAATCAGATGCAAGCAGCGGAGGGACTGGGTACATCTATGAAAGATCTGGATGCTATGCGTGATGAAGTAGTGAGTGAGGTGCAACGTGCTCCCGAGCGCCGAGTGGACAACTTGATCACGAACCTGTATGACTCGTCGCGGTTGCTAAAGATGCATGCTGAGGTTTTTGAAGACTTGCGTACTCGTTATGCTAGAGAAAAACGGCGGCGTTTAGCGCTCGTGTTTGCCACGTTTGTCGGGGGCAATGCTCTGGCGGCTTCGGTGCTTGCGGGTGGCGCTATTGAAGCTGCAACGGGACTCTGTGTTGCCAGTTCACTAGCGTCCGCTGGTGTTGTGTGGCACAACTCGACGGTGATGACTCAGCTAGAGCGTGACTTGCTGCATGAAGACTCGCTGGGTGAGCTATTCCGTCGCCGTTATGGCCGTCAGTTGGCAGAGGGGGACGAGTACGTGATGTCATTGTGGAAGCGTGTTCTGCCGTCCCTACAGATAGCTGTACACACGTTAGGCTTCGGCATGTTACCCAAGCTGAAGAACTCTGAGATTGTCGCACTCGATAAAATCGTGAGAAACGAGATCCCAGAGCTGCGTCGGCAGTGCGCTCCTACGGACAGCAGTCTGATTCACCAGGTTGCTAAGATGTTTCGCAACTAAGAAGTGATGACAATACGTGGACGCAGTATCTCGGCAGGCTGACTCTGGGCTGTATATTGCTCATCCGATGTCCCGGTATCAAATGCAAATGAACGCTAGTCGAATGTGATCTTCTTACCACTGAAGGCAGTCAAGCTGACCTTCTCCTTCTCCTTTTGTTTCTGCTTTGCCAGCCACGATGGATGCGCAATATCTACCATAACCGGTGCAGCAGCAACATGACGAGTTTGAGGTGCAACGTCCTTCGAGAGTACACGTGATTTACCATCAACGGAATGTGGCTTATCTCTTTTGCTTGGCTTGGCCTTCAGTTTAGCCTTCTTCGGTCGCTCCGATAGACCATAGTTGCGAGAGGACCCTGTAGTATCTCTATACGGCACGAACACACCCTGTGCGCGGTCCTCCTTGCGCTTGAGTGCCTCCTCTTTCCGAATAGCCTTCATCCGACGTGCAACCTGTCCGGGCCGATTCTTCCGCTTCTTCTTTTCGCCCAGAAACTCGGCAATGTCGTCATCCGCACCATATATCGGCCCATAATCATCCGTTGCCGTGCCCAACTTGTCATCCACTCCCCCTCGACCCGACAAGGAGCCGAGAAATAATGACGTGGGCGCGACACCACTACGTCCTGTAGTACCGACCAAGGACTCCTGATGACCTCGCTTCAGCGCCCTTTTATCCTGTGCACGACGTTTCCGCTCCATTTCCTTCTCTTCTTCTTTCACCAATTGTCTGATAGCATCCAGCACCACCACAATCTGCTTGTGAGCCAGCACCTGGTCGATCAGCTTTTCCTCCAGAGCAGTATCCTGCTTCTTCTCCCCTGCACCACGTCGTTCAACTCCTACAGGCTTTACCCCAATAGCCTTTGCTCCCTTTTGGCTACCGTCCTCTTCCGCGCGGCTTCCTCCCGCTTCGCTGCCGCTACTTTCCTCGTCCCCTTCGAGTCCCGTCTCGTGCTCATTTAGCACCTCCAGCGTCGATCGCGGCTTCTCTAGCCCCGTCTGCAGCCTTGCTTTGTCCACCAAATTGTTCAAATCTAACGTCTTGAGCGCTGCGTGCTCACGCTCAAGCTTCTGGACGCTCGACCGCAGCTTCTGCTCGTGCGCCTGCTGCTTGGCCGCGTCCGGCACAGGAGTTTCCAGCTGCTGGCCCAGTTGCTTCAGTTGCTGCACGACCTTGCGCACCATAAACGTGCGCACCTTCTTCGCTTCACGATGCAGCAGTGAACAGCTCTTGTGGACCAGCTTGTCGTGCGCCGAGAAGGCGTCGCTGCGCTTTCGTTTGCCGGTCATTTCTGGAACTGAACGACTGGAGTCCAGTGATAGAAATAGGATTGCGACTACAATAGAAACGAAGGACGGTCGGTCGGTCGGAGGTGGAGACTGACAAAAATAGGCGTGACGACATCGGTATTTCTGTGCCGCGACGGAAAGACGGTAATCGAGCAATACTTCACGATATTCTTAGTAGGGGTGTTAGGTAAAAGCCCCGTGACTTTTTTAATAGTTTCAAACACCATTACTGATTTTTAACAATTATACCACTTTGTACCACGTTTTACCATGTTTTAAACGTATATCAGTCATATCGTCTCACCCGATTAAACAGTGAGCAGTGATTACCATATCTCCATAAAGCAGGTTCTCTCGATGTAGAGTGGCCCGGCCGAATAAAAACATCAACATGTCATGAAGAACCAGACCGGTCGGGCTTACGCTAGTCACTATGCAGAATGAAAGAGACATACATACACAATGCACGCTGCGAAGCAGTAGTTGACGAGTGACCTGTCATGTCAGCAAAAGTTTTCAAGTGTATTTGTGCACAGCGTTTGCTTCGTCGGCCGCAATCCCACCATCTTCGGAAAAATCCTCCAGCGCATAGAACTCAAGGACATCTTGCAAGTCACCAGAGAAGAAGTCCGACAAGATCGACGAGTCTGGCAATGGCAGGCTTGCAGTAAATAATGGTTAGTCAAATCTTTTTATCATCGCACTTCTACTACACATCCGTGCTTACCGAGTAGTATCTGTTTCAACCACATTTAAGTTCTTCGTCCTCCATCAAATTAATCAAAACTGGCACGGACTGATCGGGTACAAGCACCAGATTCTAACACGCCACCTTGAGTTGGCCATTCTTTCGAGTCTGACAAAAAATGTTGATCTATGCTGTCCCTTCGCGTGTCAAATGCTGGGACGATTTCTGCTCTTGGTGTGCACCTCAGTAATAAAGGACCATGACCCTTTAACATTGCGCTGTCCGAATAAACACTCGTCACCACAATAGTCAAGTTCGTGAGCTTTAGGGCATCAGAGTTTTAAAATTGCCCCAGAAAAGGTATTTCTTCTTGAAAGTGTACAAAGCCCAGATTGCTTCGTCCTGGGTGGCGAAAATTCTCTCTGCAACGGTGGAAACATTAAGCCAAGGAACTTGACAAATAAAGTTGATACACTTAACCTTCATCATTATTCGAACCATTGCTAGCAAAATGAGTCCACGCTACTCACATGGAAGATACACTTGAATCGATACGCCATTAACTTGCGTGCACGCCGCAATTCTGCTGGCAACATCCCCACTTCACAAAAATGAGAGTCGAGGACCCAGCGAACAGTGCGGCTATCCTCAACCATGTCTTCCATCTTTTACGGACACTTTTAAGGAGCACGTATCACTATGCATTTGTCAGCTTCGCGTTTTTATTGAACGAAGAGCCAATTCCAAAAGCGATATTCGGAAAAGCGATAGTCTGAGACAATTCCAAATAGCGATAGGTGACTACGTCGGTCTCACTCAAGAATTGAATGATATGGACCAGACGCATTAGCTTTTCCGGGACGTGCAGACTGTCCGAGAGCGCAAATACTTTGGGGAATATCAGGTCAGGTCGTGAACTTTGATAACCTAAATGTAAAGCATAGTTGGTAAAGTGGCGAGCAATCCATTCCAACCAAAGCGAGATGCGCAACAAACGAGATATCACCTAAATTGCAGTGTTTTGACCTCTTACTTGTCTCCAGGTGATGCCGAAGGAGTGTTAACGGCTTTCAGCTGGTGTCCATACCGAAATACAGTCCAGCTATGCCTCATTTGCGATTCTAACGGACTACTGTCGATCCTCGAATTTTGTGAGCAATTTTAGGGCCGACTGCATTACCTCCTGAAATGTCAAGACCTTCAGAATTGCTTTGATCAGAAGGTTGAATTAATGAGCTATGGTGGGATCAATAAGAAGCATTGGACACTTACTAAGCGTTACAAAAGACAGATCATAATTATTGCTTTAAGATTACTCAATTTAAAAATTCATTCCTTACTCTGTGCAAGGCGGAAAAACTCCTTGTATGGTCCGCCACTGTCCTTACTAATGTCAAGGGGTATAGCTCAAAGTTCTTGGCTGGAAACCGGACTGCAGCCTCTTAACCTTGCAACACTTAATACCAGTCCTTAAGAAAGATGCTGTTTAAAACGACAGGAGTGTTTCTTGTGCTTGTCATCAACCGCGAGCCAGTCGCAACATCTGGAAACATTTTAATTAGCTCCTGCGAATTCAAGTAAGTCTTAACAAAGCATTTTATTCCTTTTGATTCGTCACATTATTCCAGCAGCCAGCAATCATCATGATGCATGGTGCTTGATTAAGAATCGAAACAATTCGGAAGGTAATGGTCATGTCCAATTTTGCTAATAAGGTGACCGACAATATGCTGACCACTTGGAGGGCTATGAAAGCCGAACTGCCTTCAAAAATACCGGAAAGAACTGCTTCCTGTCGAATGCAAACGGGATGTTTCCCGTCACCATCTTGAACTTGAGCAAAATGTTGGCATTCGCAACCTCTTAGAGTGAGAGAGGGAGAGTATTATAATGATAGTCCGATTTCTCCTGGTACGCTTGTGTTTTTTTCTTAGAAGTGTGTACGGAAAGACATTTTGCGGGCACCCAACTCATGTCCATTCCGGAAACCTCTCTTTCTTCCCGACTGGTTGCTGGCAAGATCCTCAGCTTCAAATGTCGCCTCATCGGTAACATCTGTGCACGACTGTGTCATGCTCCCAGAGGACGTATCTCAAACACTTAGCAGTATAACGCAGAGTACCTGTTCAGAGTGTGTTGATTCATGATGCGTCTTGGTATGCCCTTGTACAGAGGTAGTTCTAAGTAAAAGTAGAAATACATTCAGGATCAACGATTCTAATTTGTCAATGATACGACATGCGCCTTATCTGCACTGCAACTTGACCATGTACTTGTCTGAAAACATTCGCCCTTCCTGCCCATCCCATACGGTGGTTTTACGTCACAACCGTGTCGTCTTTTACCAACGGCCAGGTCGTCACCTCGCTGCCCCATCCGTCAAGTAGTCGGCCTGTGTCTCCATGTCCCATCTTTCCGATCGCCTGATAGAGGTCTCATAAGTCACCTGGTTTGACCACTGGACAATCAGGTGAGACCGGTACGCAGTATACCCCTTGAACCTAGAAACTGTAACGGGGTAAATCGTTACATAACAATTTATAAGAACTTGTTAATAGAATACAACTATAAGAGTTATATTCTCAGAATATTGTCATAAGGACAAATATTCTGTTGCACTTACGAGTAGTTCCTAATTGGTTGATATAGGCCATTTTATCAACCAACGAAGACGCGCCACGACAGACGCACGCAATGAGTGGTGAGCAGATAACTGATTTACACATTTGTATTTAGACATAGTTAGATGAAGATAAATAGTGATTTATTGCAGACATTAACTATGATAAATACAGTTCTACTTTTTACTTTAACCAAGTACTCGCTTCTTCTTACCGTCTTCCTCTGCACGTACGAGTGTACGTGAAGTTACGAGGCACCGCCTTATTCTGTCATCAGAATAAGTAGCTTGTACTGTCACCAGTACAAGCTTCAGGGTGCCCCGTTACACCTGGTAGCACTTCGTAGTCCGTCTAAGGACCACGGACACATCCAACATGAATATGTTAGATGATGAAGATGACCAAAGCTTTCACGCTACGCGTGACGGCTACTCCCATTTGAGCGATTTCGAATGGGATGCGGTCGAACGGATGGGTTCAACCATGGGCATCCAAGCTGCTAGCGTCATGCTGGAGGCTCTCAATAGAGATGCCCAACATGCTACTATCGCCAAGTTCATTCAAAATGAACTTGTTGGTGAAGAAAGGCTACTTTCTTGCAGAACGCAAGAAAGTAGCCTTTCTTCACCAACAAGGTTCTCAACAAGCATAGTTGTTGAGAGAACAGGGTGCTCAACAGTTTGAACTGTTGAGAAAGCAGCAGGCTGCTGCTGGTGGGTCGATGCACTCGCGTCGACCCGAAACCTTGAAGATTGACATCTCCAAGTATAGGGGAGTCGAAGAGTACTTCCTCTTGAGATGGTTCGTCGAATTGGATGACGCCATAAGGGCGCGTCGCACCGACGACGGGGACATGCAAGTTGCATTTGCCCAGTAGAATCTGGCAGGACGTGCCAAGACTTGGGCACTGGGGCTCAAGTTGGACGACCCATATGCGTTTGGGTCGTTGGAAGTCTTCAAGCCGCGGCTCAGACAAACGTTTGAACCGCCTGGAGATGAGTTCAGGGCTCGAACCGAACTCTTGAAGCTCAACCAGGGTAAGCGTGATGTGCACGCTTACGCGCAACATATACGACATCTTACGAGTTGTATAAGTTCCAACCTGGTTGATGAAGACACGTTGGTTTCGGTGTTCATGCAGGGTCTTGCGGATGGTCCCGTCAAGACTCAACTGTTCCGGATTGAACTAGATTCACTAGAACAAGCCATTTCCATTGCGTAACAGGAAGACTTCAGTCTGAGACAGGCTCGCGCCAGCTCGACATCATATCGTCAACCAAGACGATATGACAGCGGAGGTCCAGAGCCGATGAAACTCTGTTATGTAGAGAGCGAGAAGGCTCGCTCTACAGACTACAAGAAGTTGCAGAAATGCAACAGATGTCAAAAGACAGGACACTACGCTTACGAGTGTAGTGCCCCTCGTCCAGTGTCTCGCAACACTGGGCGTAGTGACCGTCCACCCATGAGAAAGGGGCAGGGACGAGGGTCCGCAGTTGGTGCAAAGACGCAACAACGGGATGGAACGTCAAAAAACGGACAGGATCAGTAGGTGCGGAGCACCCTACTGGTCTAGCAACGTCAAGAGAATTTGTAGGCCTCTTGATGAAGATTGCTCCCAACACACAAACGTTGTGCGTTGCTGCTCTAGGTAATGAGGTCTCACTCATTACCTTGAAACTCGAAGTGATGAATAAGTTGTCCCTTCGAGCTCTAGTCGATTGTGGGGCGTCCAACAATTTTGTGTGACGCCAATCACTAGAAGATGGTCACTTTAAATTCAGTGAATGTGACACACCTCCTACGAGGATGACGGTACGTCTTGCGACAGGCGCGTCCGTAACCGTCATGAAGCGTATAGTGAAGATCCACTATACGCTAGAAGATACCCAATATGACGATGACTTTATCGTATCGGATTTGGATGACAAGTATGATGTCATCCTTGGAATACCGTGGCTCAGAAGGTACGAACAACGGGTAAACTGGCAACATCAAACAGTAACGATGCCTGCCGCTTGTTCATCAGATGGCCATCTGATGAACGTTTAGGAGCGTCCACAAGCGTGTGGATGTACTACGAGTGAGTGCGATGACCTCACTTGTGGTACGGTCGTTAGTACGACTGCACAAAACATTAGTGTACCAAACGGTTACACTTCGGAGCAAAGTTCCGGTGGCTGTGAGGAAACACAGGCTGCGCCGAAGGTCCACCACTCGAATATGTCGGGTGGACTGGGACAAAGATGTGTCCCTAGCGGGGAACATCTAGAAGAGAAACAATCGATCGCTCAGGTTAAGCGAAACGATAATCCTAGATCGACTGGAGAGTCTTTCGTAGAGGATCTCGCTGTGGTTGCGCAACCCCAGCTAGAGGAAGTAAAGGGAATAAGTCCCAAGATTACAAATACGGCGGAAATAAGTTCCCCGAAACCCGCGGGAATAAGTCCCCGGGAAGAAGAAGGAATAAGTCCTTCGAAGCCTGAGGGAATAAGTCCCCAGGAAATGACAGAGACATTGAATGTCCTAGTCAATAACGGATCAAGTGTAGGCGCTTATACACTTGATCTGATTGCGCCTCCGAAGTTGACTTCGGAGATCACTCAGTTGCCAACGCTCGAACATAAAAGGTTCTTGCGTGATCTGCGTAGTGGCAAAGTCAAGCAGATCTGCGTACTCGTCGCTGACGACGAGTGTGTAACCGACATAAGGTCAGCAACAGTGTTTACTGAGAACGAGAGAGTTCTCAGTAGTTCATCTATGGAAGAGAGTGTCCTAGATGAAAAGACACGAGTTGAGCGATATGACTCCCAATCGTGGGAATCGCTCAAGAAAAATCCTCTCTATGAAGATTTGGTTGAATTCAAGGATGTATTCCCTGAAACTGTTCCGTGCGAATTACCGCAGGATAAAGGTATTCGACACGAGGTCGAGCTTAAACCAGGCTCGAAGTACTGTGTCATGAAGCAGTGGCCACTGCCTCGTGAACAAGTACTTGCGATCGACAAGTTCTTTGCCGATCGTTTAGCTGCGGGCCATGTGAGGGAATCAACTTCCCCACATAGCTCTCCGACCTTCTGTGTGCGAAAAGCAACAGGAGGGTGGCGGATTGTGCATGCATTTAACAAGTTGAACGCTGCAACAGTACCGGCTCAGACGCCGATACCGAGGAAGGACGTAATCATTGATGGTATGTCAAAGAACACCATCTTTTCGTCCATGGATTTGATGGATGGCTTCTATCAAATCCTTATGCGGGAACGGGATATATCCTATACCGCAGTTAGCACGCCTAGCGGCATGCTCTGGGAATGGCTAGTAATGCCACAAGGGCTCAGTAATGCCCCTGCCACGTTCAACAGATGTGTATCACATCTGTTGAGACCAGTATGAGAATTTGCGCCGAGTTATTTCGATGACGTATTCATCCATAGCCGAGCTATGGATGGAAAGTCGGACGTTGAGGTTCACAGGTACCACGTCCGACAAGTTCTTACAATCATGCGAAAGCATCAATTGTATGCAAACCTCAAGAAGTGTATATTTGCAGCAAGCGAAATACCACTTCTTGGGTGCATCGTTGGTAAGAACGGTGTACGTCCTGTTCCCGAAAAGATCAAGGCGATCACCCACTGGCCTGTGTCGGTTGATGTCAAAGGTCTTCGAAAATTCCTTGGGCTAGCGGCGTATTTGCATAAGTATTCACGCAATACGCCGAGATGACTGTGCACCTCTCTCGTTTGTTGAAAAAGAACGAGAGGTGGTTATGGAACGCTGAATGTCAGCGCTCCTTTGAGGGTATCAAGCAGAACTTGATACAATCCCCAGTCTTAGCAATTGCCGATCAGGACAGGCCATTTCATGTGGTCTGTGATGCCAGCGATTCCGCAATCGGCTGTGCATTAATGCAGTACGATCTTGAAGGCGTTGAACGCGTCGTCTGCTATTAGTCGCGTCAGCTGCAACCAGCTGAGCGGAACTATCCAGTGCATGACAAGGAAAAAGTACATGAAAACGAACTCCTTGCCATGAAGATGCACTCGCGAAGTTCAGAGTCTATCTAATAGGAGCTAGACCCTTCATTGTTTACACTGACCATGCGTCATAACGCACGGCAGTGAACAGCCCGCACCCTTTACAACGAATGGCTCGGTGGTTGTCACTCTTTGCAGAATACAGCTTTACGGTCGAGTACAAACCAGGACGACTTAATGTCGTCGCTGATGCACTCTCACGTCGTCCCGACTTTGAAACAGTCGCGAAACCCAACAGTGAGACAGTCACTGTTGCGGTTATGACGTCCTCAGTCCCATCTACAACGTTGTATGGAGATGTGAGGCGGGCATACGCCCAAGATGGTGAGATAGTGAAGTTGTTGACACATCTCTCCCAACCATCTCGAGAATCGTTGAAACGATTGTCGTCTGCGTATCAATCTGCATCAGATCAATACACTACTCGTAACGGTTTACTGTACTATACAGCCGTATCTGGTGACACACCACGTGTTGTCATTCCAGATGATACTGATCTGCGTTTGCGGATCATGTTCGAGTATCACGATGCTTCTATAGGAGGACATCGTGGCCGGGAGAAAACATATATCATGGTGAGTCGAGACTTTTACTGGCCCCGCCAGTATCAGTTTGTGCGAAAGTATGTTCGCGCATGCGAAGTCTGTCAACGAGTGAAGTCAAGTCTTTCACTGCGTGCACCTTTACAGCCTCTACCGGTTCCGGCTGAGTGCTGGGAATCCATCTCAATGGATTTCGTCTTCGGGTTACCCAAAGACGCACGCGGGAATACGGGTATTCTCGTTTTTGTTGACAGATTCAGCAAAATGGTACACCTTGTGGCTGTACCAGAGTCAATCGCGGCAAGTGGCTGTGCTTGTGTCTTTATTTGACACCATCTTCCGACTTCATGGGCTGCCCCGTGAACTCGTATCAGACAGAGATCCACGATTCACTGCTGATTTCTGGTGTTCCGTGTTCAAATCACTCGGAACGCGCTTGAAGATGTCTACATCTGATCATCCAGAGTCAGATGGTCAGACTGAACGTGCCAATCGTGTCCTTGAAGAGATACTTCGAGGATACGTACACTCCTTTAAGAGTTGGAGTGAGTTTTTGCCAATGGTAGAGTTTGCCATCAACAACTCGGTGCATGCGTCCACGACACATACACCGTTTTACGTGAATGGCTTACGCCATCCGCGTGTACCCACCTTACTAGAGTGTGACTCTGGTTTGAGGGGGGAGGGACTCGCACGAGCAAAAACCGTATTGGTTCACGCTCATCACGCTCTGAAAAAGAATTCATTGCGTTTGATGCCGATATCGATAACATCGATATCGAAGAAGATGATGTCAGTGAGAGTGCGGAAGCCCTCACTGAAGAAAAGGTTGTTGTTGCTGCAGTGCGCTCACAGCACACTGAAGCTAACGAGTCATCAGATGAGTTCATACTGGCTCGTGAAACGGTAGTCTGTTTTGTGCAAGACTCCATCGCCGAAGCGGTGGATAAGCAAAAGCAAAACGCTGACAAGAATGGAAGGGCAAACACTCTTTCATTTAATGAAGGTGACTTAGTCCTACTGTCTACGGTAAATCTACCAAAACATGTAGTGACTAACGTGGGTAGTGGTAAACTACTACCCAAGTACATCGGCCCATTTCGTGTATTGCACCGCCTAGTCAATGCATACACGATCGAGTTACCACGTAAGATGCGAACGCATCCCACATTTTACGTTGGTCGGCTTAAGCCGTACCATCAGTACGCTGCTTCTTCCGATGAAGAACGCCCTTGCGCTCAAGCATCTCACAGAGAGCCTTGTGCTACCGATAATGGATATCGACAAGGGTCTGAAGAGCAGTTATCTCAGCCCGAGACCAGATAATATCCACAAGAGCTGCCCTCAGCACGTCACGAAGAGATGTCAGAGATCTCTCGTTCTCAAGCTGAGCAAAGGCAAACTCAGCTCGATGCTTCGAGGCAGTGTCCACCATTTGGAGACGCCTATTCCGCTCATGTTCGAGATCGTCGCGTACCCCTTGCGTTACGCGATCAAAGAAGCTCTCAGGAACACACCGATCCACATGATCGTGTGGAGAGCGTCTTTCCTCCTCCTCCACCTCCATTAGAGGACTCTCGTGGTGGCCAGCGCTATCTAGTTGAGCAGCTGTTGAACCACCACGACGTGAACGGACGTCGGACGAGTTATCTCGTCCGGTGGCGCGGCTATCCCCCGTCCTGGGATACTTGGGAGCCTCGCTCCCAACTGATGATTGACGTAATGGGTCTGGTTGAGCAGTACGACGCGGCACATCCTGTGCCGCAGAAGGACCGCCGGAGAAAGTCTTCCCGGCACGGTCGTAAAGGGATTTCAGGTTGTCAATCCCTTCGTACATCTCAGTAGAGACTCGTACGCGCCATTACGGGCTGGTAAGGACGTAAGCCTCCTTAGGTGCTCGTGCAGAGTTGTTCACACAACATGGGCACGAGTCTCCCCAAGAGAGGCAGGGTAATCCTTTCTCCCTTGACAGACGATGCAGCTTGTAGCGTGCACCTGTCGGGGTTCGCTTTTCAAACTTATCACGAGCTTTGATAAGTTTGTCGTTCCAAGCGTCACGACCTACATCCTCGAGGTTATGGATGTACGCGTTCCACGCCTGAAGTAGTGAGGGACCATCACGTTTGTGATTCCCACTGTACCATCGATGTCTAAAGAAAGCATCGATGAAGAATTCATGTTCAGCGCGATAGTTTTTCGCGCTGGGGTCAAGGTGATGGATCCTTGACGAATCGAACAACCGTGTTCATTAACGATCACTCGTCGTCGCCGACAAGTGATCCATGACTGATTTGGGAGGCATCCATGCCTTCTTCTCAGGAGCGAGACGCAACACATTGCGGTCCCGATCTTCCTGCGACGTGCCGACAGAAGTACTGGCACCTCTCTGTGAAGTGGTGTCCATAGGAGAACCGACACCACTATAAGCGCCCGAGTCTCGCGACCTCGAGCGCCTTCGCTTCGGCGATGGTTCATCTGATTCATCAGATGAACCAAAGATGCTGCGACGCAAAGCATCGTCCATGCCACGCTTGGCAGGCGGCTTAGATTCAATCGCCGTCGATACGGATCCGTCATCCGTATCAGGAGAGTACGAGACACCGAGCTCGTACTCTGTGAAGACACGAGTGTCTTCATGACCAGCACCTGCATCACCAAGTGACACAGGCTGAGTCGCTTCAGCAACCGATGGGACATCAGTTGCTGTTGTTTCTGCTTCGGCGTCCGCACAGAGACGTGCAGACGCGCTCTCGGCGGCCTTGTTCGCGCATCGTATGGGCTTGTTTACCATGCGATGAGATGTTGGGAAGTGGACGCGGACCAACAAGTGCAAACCCTGTCCCAAATGATTTGGGACGAGTATCCATTTAGTCAATCAGTCACTAAAGTGACTGATGGTTAAGGGGGGGGTGATGTAACGGGGTGAATCGTTACATAACAATTTATAAGAAATTGTTAATAGAATACAACTATAAGAGTTATATTCTCAGAATATTGTCATAAGGACAAATGTTCTGTTGCACTTGCAAGTAGTTCCTAATTGGTTGATATAGGCCATTTTATCAACCAACGAAGACGCGCCACGACAGACGCACGCAATGAGTGGTGAGCATATAACTGATTTACACATTTGTATTTAGACATAGTTAGATGAAGATAAATAGTGATTTATTGCAGACATTAACTATACTAAATACAGCTCTACTTTTTACTTTAACCAAGTACTCGCTTCTTCTTACCGTCTTCCTCTGCACGTACGAGTGTACGTGAAGTTCCGAGGCACCGCCTTATTCTGTCATCAGAATAAGTAGCTTGTACTGTCACCAGTACAAGCTTCAGGGTGCCCCGTTACAGAAACCCTCCAATTAAGTGAGACTGTAACGTGGTATATCCCTCGAACTTTGAGACCTGCTCTGCCTGTGATCGCAAACCAAGTGAACAGTACTTGCACTTGGTTCTCATTTTTCATCGGCTATTTCCACCTTTAAAAAATCGTGTACCGGAAGTCGAGGGAGTCCGAAGGTGGTAATAGTAAACCTGCACTTCAAAAAGAAAGAATGTGATCAAAATTGATAGCATTGCGGAGAAGGCATGTATGGAGCCTGTGGTGGAAATTTGAATCTCTAGGAATGGATGAATTGATGGCATTAAACGGTTCCTACCTGGAACAAATTCTTTGATTAGTTTTTGTGTTAGGTGGCAACAAATGGCATGCGGACGGTGGAAGTGGTTGCGTTGCAATCACCCATTTTACATTGATGACAAATCGTTGGCCTTTAGAGGGAATATAATTTGCTAACAGATACTCTATTCAAAAACAAGGCCCTCTTTGTACCATTTTTAAAGTTGGAAAAAAGAGTAATGCAATTTATGAGGTCTCATTACCTAACATCCCTAATTGTCGAGGTAATTGTATATCAAAAAACGTGACTACAGATATATCTCATCCAGCGCAGCTAGATTTGTGTTCGTGAACAGCTACATAGCACAAGGTACTTAAGATGAGTACATCTCCTCTTCCGCATTTCATCTCACATATTCTACTCAACTAGAAGAGGATCTTTAAGACAGATAGCGAAGAACTAATTCATGCATATTGTCACGGGGCACCCTGAAGCTTGTACTGGTGATAGTACAAGCTACTTATTCTGATGACAGAATAAGTCGGTGCCTCGGAACTTCACGTACACTCGTACGTGAAGAGGAAGACGGTAAGAAGAAGCGAGTACTTGGTTAAAGTAAAAAGTAGAACTGTATTTATCATAGTTAATGTCTGCAATAAATCACTATTTATCTTCATCTAACTATGTCTAAATACAAATGTGTAAATCAGTTATCTGCTCACCACTCATTGCGTGCGTCTGTCGTGGCGCGTCTTCGTTGGTTGATATAATGGCCTATATCAACCAATTAAGAACTACTTGCAAGTGCAACAGAACATTTGTCCTTATGACAATATTCTGAGAATATAACTCTTATAGTTGTATTCTATTAACAATTTCTTATAAATTGTTATGTAACGATTCACCCCGTTACATCACCCCCCCCCTTATCCATCAGTCACTTTAGTGACTGATTGACTCAATGGATACTCGTCCCAAATCAGTTGGGACAGGGTTTGCACTTGTTGGTCCGCGTCCACTTCCCAACATCTCATCGCATGGTAAACAAGCCCATACGATGCGCGAACAAGGCCGCCGAGAGCGCGTCTGCACGTCTCTGTGCGGACGCCGAAGCAGAAACAACAGCAACTGATGTCCCATCGGTTGCTGAAGCGACTCAGCCTGTGTCACTTGGTGATGCAGGTGCTGGTCATGAAGACACTCGTGTCTTCACAGAGTACGAGCTCGGTGTCTCGTACTCTCCTGATACGGATGACGGATCCGTATCGACGGCGATTGAATCTAAGCCGCCTGCCAAGCGTGGCATGGACGATGCTTTGCGTCGCAGCATCTTTGGTTCATCTGATGAATCAGATGAACCATCGCCGAAGCGAAGGCGCTCGAGGTCGCGAGACTCGGGCGCTTATAGTGGTGTCGGTTCTCCTATGGACACCACTTCACAGAGAGGTGCCAGTACTTCTGTCGGCACGTCGCAGGAAGAGCGGGACCGCAATGTGTTGCGTCTCGCTCCTGAGAAGAAGGCATGGATGCCTCCCAAATCAGTCATGGATCACTTGTCGGCGACGACGAGTGATCGTTAATGAACACGGTTGTTCAATTCGTCAAGGATCCATCACCTTGACCCCAGCGCGAAAAACTATCGCGCTGAAAATGAATTCTTCATCGATGCTTTCTTTAGACATCGATGGTACAGTGGGAATCACAAACGTGATGGTCCCTCACTGCTTTAAGCGTGGAACGCTTACATCCATGACCTTGAGGATGTAGGTCTTGACGTTTGGAACCACAAACTTATCAAAGCTCGCGATAAGTTTGAAAAGCGAACCCCGACATGTGCACGCTGCAAGCTGCATCGTCTGTCAAGGGAGAAAGGATTACCCTGCCTCTCTTGGGGAGACTCGTGCCCATGTAGTGTGAACAACTCTGCACGAGCACCTAAGGAGGCTTACGTCCTTACTAGCCCGTAGTGGCGCGTACGAGTCTCTACTGAGATGTACGAAGGGGTTGACAACCTGAATTCCCTTTACGACCGTGCCGGGAAGACTTTCTCCGGCGGTCCTTCTGCGGCACAGGATGTGCCGCGTCGTACTGCTCAACCAGACCCAGTACGTCAATCATCAGTTGGGAGCGAGGCTCCCAAGTATCCCAGGACGGGGGATAGCCGCGCCACCGGACGAGATAACTCGTCCGACGTCCGTTCACGTCGTGGTGGTTCAACAGCTGCTCAACTAGATAGCGCTGGCCACCACGAGAGTCCTCTAATGGAGGTGGAGGAGGAGGAAAGACGCTCTCCACACGATCATGTGGATCGGTGTGTTCCTGAGAGCTTCTTTGATCGCGTAACGCAAGGGGTACGCGACGATCTCGAACATGAGCGGAATAGGCGTCTCCAAATGGCGGACACTGCCTCGAAGCATCGAGCTGAGTTTGCCTTTGCTCAGCTTGAGAACGAGAGATCTCTGACATCTCTTCGTGACGAGCTAAGGGTAGCTCTTGTGGATATTGTCTGGTCTCGGGCTGAGATAATTGCTCTTCAGACCCTTGTCGATGCCCACCATCGGGAGCACAAGGCTCTCTGCGAGATGCTTGAGCGCAAGGGCGTTCTTCATCGGAAGAAGCAGCGTACTGATGGTACGGCTTAAGCCGACCAACGTAAAATGTGGGATGCGTTCGCATCTTACGTGACAACTCGATCGTGTATGCATTGCCTAGGCGGTGCAATACATGAAATGGGCCGATGTACTTGGGTAGTAGTTTACCACTACCCACGTTAGTCACTACATGTTTTGGTAGATTTACCGTAGACAGTAGGACTAAGTCACCTTCATTAAATGAAAGAGTGTTTGCCCTTCCATTCTTGTCAGCGTTTTGCTTTTGCTTATCCACCGCTTCGGCGATGGAGTCTTGCACAAAACAGACTACCGTTTCACGAGCCAGTATGAACTCATCTGATGACTCGTTAGCTTCAGTGTGCTGTGAGCGCACTGCAGCAACAACAACCTTTTCTTCAGTGAGGGCTTCCGCACTCTCACTGACATCATCTTCTTCGATATCGATGTTATCGATATCGGCATCAAACGCAATGACTTCTTTGTCAGAGCGTGATGAGCGTGAACCAATACGGTTTTTGCTCGTGCGAGTCCCTCCCCCCTCAAACCAGAGTCACACTCTAGTAAGGTGGGTACACGCGGATGGCGTAAGCCATTCACGTAAAACGGTGTATGTGTCGTGGACGCATGCACCGAGTTGTTGATGGCAAACTCTACCATTGGCAAAAACTCACTCCAACTCTTAAAGGAGTGTACGTATCCTCGAAGTATCTCTTCAAGGACACGATTGGCACGTTCCGTCTGACCATCTGACTCTGGATGATCAGATGTAGACATCTTCAAGCGCGTTCCGAGTGATTTGAACACGGAACACCAGAAATCAGCAGTGAATCGTGGATCTCTGTCTGATACGAGTTCACGGGGCAGCCCATGAAGTCGGAAGATGGTGTCAAATAAAGACACAAGCACAGCCACTTGCCGCGATTGACTCTGGTACAGCCACAAGGTGTACTATTTTGCTGAATCTGTCAACAAAAACGAGAATACCCGTATTCCCGCGTGCGTCTTTGGGTAACCCGAAGACGAAATCCATTGAGATGGATTCCCAGCACTCAGCCGGAACCGGTAGAGGCTGTAAAGGTGCACGCAGTGAAGGACTTGACTTCACTCGTTGACAGGCTTCGCATGCGCGAACATACTTTCGCACAAACTGATACTGGCGGGGCCAGTAAAAGTCTCGACTCACCATGATATATGTTTTCTCCCGGCCACGATGTCCTCCTATAGGAGCATCGTGATACTCGAACATGATCCGCAAACGCAGATCAGTATCATCTGGAATGACAACACGTGGTGTGTCACCAGATACGGCTGTATAGTACAGTAAACCGTTACGAGTAGTGTATTGATCTGATGCAGATTGATGCGCAGACGACAATCGTTTCAACGATTCTCGAGATGGTTGGGAGAGATGTGTCAACAACTTCACTATCTCACCATCTTGGTCGTATGCCCGCCTCACATCATCATACAACGTTGTAGATGGGACTGAGGACGTCATAACCGCAACAGTGGCTGTCTCACTGTTGGGTTCCACGACTAGTTCAAAGTCGGGCCGA